TTTAATCTACTCGGACTATTTTAATTCGGCCTTCTTCAAAGATAATAATATAGAAGAAAACTTAAATATGATTAATATATATTTAGGAGTTATAGAGGAGGTCTATTATATAAATTACGCTATAGATTGATATAATTAGGATTTGGAATTTTAGGACTTTAATTTTTATAAATTCGATATTATGAAGTCTATAAATCATTTAATTAACGATAATTATATTAAATCTGATTTAATATGAAAAATATTTTTTCATTTACAAAAGGAAGGCTGAAGGAGTTAGATTTTAAAAAGTAAGAAGAAATTTAAAGTCGCTTTTATAGAATATTTAATTAAGTAAAGCCGCGTATATTAGAAAAAGGATGTAAAAAACGAATTCTTATCGATTTAAATAATAAAAATATTTAGTTATAATTTATTTATAAAATATATATGGCGAAACTAATTAGTTATCTTAGCTGTAAAAGAATAAATAAAACTTTTAATAAATTCTATTATTAATTTGGAATATATTAGTTAATTAAAGAATTTTGTAACGCGTATTTAATTTGTACGAAGATTAAATTTTTCAAATATTTATTAGTAGGGTTTTTAAAGCCTTTTCTAATCCTATTTAAAGTATAGATGGAAATGTTAATCGATTATATTACCCTAATAATTCTATATATATAATAGGGATGGATTTATAAATATATAGCGGTAGTCGTCAACTGGCTATTACAATAAGGTATTATATCCTTATAGATATTTTAGAGATGGATAAATTAATAGAGAAATTTATTAAAAAGGTTTATAGTATTTACGGACTATTACATAATATCGTTTCTAATAGAGGATTATAATTTAATTTAATACTTTAAAGAACTTTATATAAACGATTAAATATTATAGTAAAATTCTCTTTTGTATTCTATTCCTAAACTATTAATTAAACTGAAAAGATTAATATTAAAATAGATTAATATTTTTGTTTTTATATCAATTAGGCTTAGGATAATTAAGTAAATTAATTACCCTTAATTAAATTTATTTATAATAATATAATATTTAAAACTATAAATATTAGTCCGTTTTATATTAATTACGGGTTTTACACCCGAATAAGTATTAAGTTAATTAAATTATACCCTCCTAATTTATCCGAAATATAAAAAAAGGAATTCTTTAAAGCTTTAGAAATAATTAGTTATTTTTAAGCTATTTTAAATAGTATAGTAGCTTTATTAAAGTAAGCATAAAACCGATATAAAGCGAATATAAATTAGAATTGTAGTAATGCTTTTAAATATTATATCGATAATAGAGTCTTATTAAATACTAAGAACTTTGCTATAGGGAGGCTTTAAATAAAATTAGTCCTTAAATGGGAAGGACTATTTATAATTATTGAAGTTAATTTTTATTAGGTAAAGTTAAAATTTCCTAAGAATATAAAGGTTAATTTAATATTTTATATATTTATAGTTAAATTTTAAGAGATAGTCGGACTACCCGGCTAGTACGATATTGAGGAAAATATTTATCCGAATAAGGGTCGAGTAATGATTAGAACCGATAAGTACGATAATGATAAATAGTAGGAATAGGAGTTCGAAAGTATTATAGGATATGGTAAAGTAAATAACGGTCGCTAAAAATATTATATTAAAAAGAAAGATATTAATAAGCCTAATTAGTAACCGGTTAAGGATTTGGAAGGATACGATAATATTATTTGGAAATTCTATAATGCTAATCTTAATATATTATTACTACCAATCTAAATTAAAAGAAGAAGGGGGCGATTAAAGAAAAAATTAATATAAGTTTAGAATAACACCCTAAAAATATTAGAATTAGTATAATAATCAGAAGTACTATTAGTTCGAAGAAGTATAAGATTGAATAAAAAGTAAAATATAAATAAGAATTTAATAAAAAAGGAATTTAAGACTTATAGTACGAACTTTACCCCAAGTTTCTAAAGAACGAGTTTCTTGAGCTTACTCTGAGGGATAGCCCGAAATTTACTTATATTTTAATTCCCTTTTCCCCCTATAATCTCCTTAGATTGGTCTTCCTAATTTGGTTTCCCTAATTCGAATAAAATTATATAATAATTATAATACGTTAGCGTAGATAAATAGAACGTTTAGTAATTATATTTACGAATATAAAATAAAAGAAGAAAAAAGAGGGTTATAAATACAATTTAAATATATAACGTCTATATTTATATTACCAGCGGTACTTTAAATATTTTCGTACGCCGTTATATTATAGGGCCCTTATAGTACCCCCTTTAGGGGCTAGTAATAATAGAGAGGGGAAATAGTAAGTATAAAGACGATTAGAACGTTATTTAGGATTATTTAGCAAAATAATAAATATTTCGGTAGAAGGGTTACGTTTAGTAATATTTTAATTAGTATTCTACCTTTAAATAAGAATTTTAACGCTAAGTAGTTTCCTATCTTAATATACGCGCTAAAGGATTTTGTCGGATTTTAATTGGGTATATCCGGGGAAGGCCTATTTTAAAGGATTTAAAAGTAAAACTATATATTTAATCAGCAATTTCGTAAACGGGAACTTCTTTTAAGAGGGAGTAATATTATAAAGCTAGATTACATACCCTATACTAGTCGTACTATTAACTAATATTATATTGCGGCTTAGTTGTAACTATTATTATAGTATTAGGCTTAGCCTTAGTAGCGGTCACGGGGTAGATCCACCTAATTAGGTAGATCTTACCCGTACCCTATATTTACCCTAGCTACGCACACCTTTCTTACTTCCTTCGTACAATAACAAAGATTATTCTTTATATTTAACGGTGCACTCGCTCCGTAATACGTATACGTATATATAAGTGCCTAACTACCTAAAGTAGCCTCCCTATCTAGGCACTATAGAATGCTATAGAGTACTATAGAGTACTATAGGGTAGTATAGGGTACTATAGGTCGTCTAGCCAAGTGCCAAATGCCAGTACTAGGCGCCAGCCCCGTAATAATATCTTAACTTTATCCTTAGGGGAATTAAAACTTAGTATATTACCTAGCAGCTGTGTAGCGCGCGCGGCCCGGGCCCATTCCGTTCCGTTCCGTTAATTAGAATGGGGTAGGGTAACCGGGGGCACTAAACTAGTCCGTGCGTACTCCACTTTTCTTAAGCTGAAAGTACTGAATATATACCCAAATGTAAATTACGTATCTTATATAATTACCGTAATTACTAAAAATATATAATTAATATATAATGAAATATTTATACGCGAGAGCCTCTCACCAGCCCCCTACACCCCCGGAGCTAACCCTAATCCTAATTAACTCTAACTAACCCTAACTAACCCTAACTAACCCTAACACTAATATATAATTTACTAAAATGCGGCTATCAACGGCGCGTTCGCGGGCTTCGTAAAGGGTTCGTACGGAGAAGATACCAAAAGCGACTTGGCACGTAACAAATGCCAAGCATCCTAGTACCCCCGGTCACTATCGCCATTGGGATACGCCGCAGCGCCGGAGGGAGGCTAGGTAATATAGAGGGAGGGAAGGACCTAGGGAGGCCCACGATTCGGATCGAAGAAGATGCGTACGGCCTAGCCTACCTTATTTATCCATATCCATATCGTCGTGCTACCTAATTTAGGTAGCCGAACGGGTGCGTCTAATTATGTTAGCCGGCGCCAACGATAGTAGGTGCGTGGGTGGTGTAACGACGGGAACGCGCTTACCCGCCCGCCTACCTAGGTACTACCAACGAACCTCAAAAAGTCCCGTTCTTAGGTAAGGTAGGTAGGTAGGTAGGTAGGTAGGGTAGGTCTCCGCCAACGTCCATGGAATCTATCTCCCTCCCGCGGCGCTGCAGTGGTGGGTCGGGTCGGGTGTTGCACCGTCCGTTCACCTTCTTCCCCCTTCTCTTCCGTCCCTTTCCCCAGTTGACACGGATATCACCTACGTAAGTCGTGCGGACGTGTTAACATGTACACCTGCCTGCCTACGTACATGGGTGCTCAGCAGCAGCTCCAGGGTATGATGCCCTGCGGCCTGCTCGGACGGCCTGCTCGGACGGCCAGGGTCAATCCGATCCGGACATGAATGATCTAGCCCTTATCAGTGTTCTCTTCTGGATAGAGGGAATGATTGACCGTGCCCCCCTCCAGTCATTCAGGTTTGGCGCAGGGCGCGGGAATCGAGACCGGACGAGAGTTGGGATGAAAGATTGAGTAAAGGACAGGGGCGGAGAAAGGAGGGACGGTACGGGAAAAAAAAAAAAAAAAACGCTCAACTCGTTAACAACCTGCTGTCTTGACTCTTGAGTTCCCTTGGAGGTTTCACTTGGAGAATGGAGGGGAGCACGGCGGACAAAATGAATGCTCCTACGGGCCACGGCCTTTGCTGTCTTTTAAGAGCCAAGACACATGGACACTACTCCAGAGACACTACTCCAGAGAGTGTGTGGGATACTTACTTGACGTCAAATGTCGCACGTAGTAGCATAGCACACTTTAACTGAAGTGTTAGGGCATGTAGGAATAAGGAACTCCGTGGATTACGTGAGCGGAGTGACGGGACGACACTGCACCATACAACACGCGATAGTGTCAGGTTATCAATCTTCGAGGAGAAGAGGGAAACGTCGTTAATCATTAGGTGTGCAGAGTGTCTGTCGTTCAGTCGTTCAATCGTTATTGGCTGGCGCTTGGCACCTTGCCAGGCTCCCCGATTCCCAGCCTACCACTTCGGCCCCCTCCACCCCCTTGCCCTCGTATCAGCTTTCCACTACCCAACAAAATACTTCCTCATTGTCTCCCTATAAGCGTTGTACTTAATTGCGCTCAGCGGGTTTTCTTCTAAGTAATCCATCACTTTAGCCACCTCCTCTTTACTTATTTCCGTAGCGTAGGTCTTTTGTACATCTGCGACGGCGGCGTAGAGGGCTGATTCGCTTAGGTAGTTGGAGGTAGAGATAGTACGTCCAATAGCGCCAGCGCTTCTAAGGCCAAATTACCTATTCCTCTCCACAGCCTCTACTATAACCCCTGCCATCCTCTTTAATACTTCCTTAGTTGTCTCTTTTATAACTTCTTCTTTTATATCCTCCTTAACCTCTTCCCTAACATCGTCTCTAATATTTTCCGCCCACTCCTTACCCAAATCTCGCTGTATGTCCTCTATTTGACCGGCTATCTCTGCTCTGACTTGTTCTTCGAATTCGAGCTGGGCCCAGTCCTCCAGCTTTGAACAAGCCGTGTCGAATCCGGCGTCAATGGTGTCATCGATTCGGTGCCGGACACTGGAGGTTTCCGAGGTGTTGTACCGGCAGTTGTGATGGCATGTCTGGCTGTCGTGGTCATGGTGGGAAACTCTGCCAGGATCCAGGCAGGCGACTTCGAGATGTTCGACGCGCCTTTCAAGGGCCGCGTTGCGGGTGAGAAGCTGTTTTTCAAGGGCTGCGTTGTGGGTGAGAAGTTGTTAGATGATGAAGGATAATTTTCGTATGTCGGTTAAGGCTTCTACCGCGTCGAGAGCGGTGGGTAAGGGCGGGAGGGAGGGGAGCAGGGCGAGGTCGGAGGGGGTTGTGAATTGTAGGCGTTTTCCGTTTCGATTTGTAGAGGAAGTTCGTTAGCGGGTGACTAGGTATCATAAAGGTAGTACCTTGGGCTGGGGGGACGTACTCGATAGGGGGGAGAATTGCATTAACTCTTTAACTCTACGAAGCGTTCTACTCTATCGATTCGAACAATTAGTGGTTGCTTGGACCTACAATAACGCGTTTATTTTTGTAATCGAAGTAGGGAAGTAAGAATCTGCTTGTACTTACTATTCGTTTACGTATTTAAATTGAAATTAATATTTAGGTAGTATTTTAAAGCTTACTAGAGGTAGTATAGGTAGGACTACTTAGTTGTGCCTTTTATACTTCGTAATATATTAATTCGTATACTGTAATCCTCGGGTTAATAATTTACCCGCTAGTACCGCCGTATAACCTTATAAGAAATATACAATCTACGTCAATTCTTAGTCGACTACGAATATTAGCGAGCGAAAAGATTAATAGTAGTAAGGCTAACTATATTCGAGCTTCGACTAGAAGGGATAGGGTGTCTAAATAGATCGAAATATCTTTGACCGAAGTAAGAGAGTATAAATTATCCATTATGGCTCTGTATCGCTCCTTGGCTTCCAAGGGACGGTTTAGAAGGACGATAAAAGTCGGCGGCTCTATTATAATAAAGCGCAGTCGAATGAACCTGCCCACGGATACTACTACCTGTTGTATAGTAGGGAGTGTAGGGGAGGATATATTTCTAAATTCGACGGACTAGACATCCTCGGGGTAAATGAATAGGTAAAGAAGAATATTGCCCGTTTTATTAACGAAATAACTACGAAATATAAATAAAGCTGTTCGCTTCTCAATATTAATATATATATCGATTATTAAGTTTAATATATGCCGAGCGAGACCTATAGCATCCTAAATAATTTATTCAGTTCGAGAAACCAAATCGATTTAGTAATTTATTTTATAATCGTTTATATCTAATGTAATTAATATATTGTCGCCGTAAAACCGATCGATACTATTAATAGAATCGTTACTAATATAAATTTCAAAATAAGTTTATAAGTAGAGAGTAAACGAATAACCTACCGCCTTCTCGTAAAGATATAACCGTCGGTCTAATTTATTATAATTAGGAGGTAAGATAGTAGAGAAGCTATTAACCGCAGTATCTCCACCCGCAGCCCTATTGAGAAGCCCCAATCCTTTCTATAAGTAAATTTAAGAAGTAGGAGTTGGCAAGTTTTTATAACTTCTCGACTATAGATTATATTACTTCGAATTGTAATAACCGGAGAAAGACAGACTAGCCACATATCCAAACGGATATATAACCTTAGGCCGTAGTAAATTAGAAAGAGGGAAGAAAGGGGAACGGTCCCGCCGCTCTCTCGTAAAGATGCAATTGTCGGTCTAGTTTACTATAACTAGGACGCAAGACAGCAAAGAAGCTACTGACCGCAACATCTCCACCCGCGGCCCTATCGAGAAGCCCCGGTCCTTTCAACTTCAACAGGTGAGCCTGAGGAGTAGGAGTTGGCAAGTTTTTATGGCTCTCGACTCAGAGGTCACGTTACTTCGAGTTGCAGCAACTGGAAAGAGACTGGACGGCCACATACCCAACGGATGGATATATGACCTCAGGCCGTGATGAATTGGGAAAGGGGGCAGAAGGGGACGGCCTGCCGCTCTCTCGTGAAGATGCAACAAGTTGCATCGACTGGAAAGAGACTGGACTCCTATGCATCTCCCTGGAGAGATGCACAGCATCAGAACCGCGGCGAATCGGGGAGACGGGCAAGAGGGCAAGAGGCAAAGGGGAGGGAGGGAGAATGGGGGTTGATATGAACGAAACCTTGGACCGGCCATGATCGTCTTCTGCGCACTACGAGTCCGATAGGGCTAGGCGGAGGCGAGGTCAGGTTTCTGACCGTGAGGAGGACAACGGTTGTGTAGGTGATACTCGGGCATCGGGGTTGTTGTTGTCATCGCCTAATTGATGCAATGGTTGTAGTATATGGGGCGCCGAGTCGGCCATGGCGGTGGAGGTTGGATTAGGTTAGGAGGACTGGAGGTGGTGATGATGGGCAAAGGGACGAGACGACGTCAAAAGTGGAGGCAGAAATGGAACAGACGGAAAGGGTGTGTGAGTGACCAATTGAATTGATTGAGCAAAGTGCGGGTAGAAGATGGGGAGAAAAAGACAGCTCCCAAGGCCTGGGGAGGCCGGGTTCATATACGCTTCCTCTGCCCCCTCTTTTTTCGTTACAGGGATTCTCTTGGCCAACCAGGTGGCTCCGTGAACGGGATGTGCAAGTCACTAACAGGAATGGGTGCGATTCTCACCAAATCTGTTACGGGTCTGCACATCCTATCAACGGAGCCCTACGTGGCCGGCCAAGGCGGGAGCTTACAGGGGTAAAAAAGTGGCCCCCGCGGCCTTGCTGGCATAGCTGCCTGCTTGGCAAAAGAGGTGGAGACTGGAGCCCGTCTTTTTGCTTGCTCTGCGAAACAAACGCCTGTGCACGTGACCGATGGCCACGCCGGGCCTCTTGATTGGTTGCTCGAGGATAATTATGGATGTGGCTGCGCGTGTGGCCGACGGCGTGGCTGACGCATACGCGACACAGACCAACGCGCTGGACGCCCGCAACGACATCTCTTTAAAGAAGTGCTGAGAAGTTGCGCCGCCGGTGCTGTCGCATCACATACCAACTTTGCCCCAGTCAAATGGCCACCATATCCTCATTCCGTTGCGATGTCCGACGCTCTGTCCTCCGATAACACCTTTTCCTCATCAAGCCCGGTCAAAGTTGGAAGCACGCCTCGAATAAACATGGAAGTGGTCCATGGAGAGAGCAACTGGCCCGGCGCATCGCTACTTTACCGGGTCAGATTGTCCGGTGGCCTGTGGGCCGTCATTGTCTTTCTTTCCCCCTTCCCTCGCCGCTAAGGGCTTTCTGACCGTCGTTGACCAGTATCCAAGTTGACCAGTTCGTGGGCACGGCTCCCAGTCGCCACTCCCCATAAAAGCTGCAGAATGAAGACAGGTGTCCATTAGCATGCATCCAGAGATATACGGGCAGCTGTGTATGTGCATCTTGAAAACCCCCGAAGAAAAGGTTTCGCCTCTGTCATTATTTGCAGTGCCCCGGATCTATAAAACATCCTCTTCTGCTCTTATTTCCCTAGTCCATTTCCTTCCTTTGATTCATCCTCTCAGCACCGAGTACCTCAGTCAACGATCAACCTGTTAGGAAAAATCCATCAACAACCTGACCACCGCCCGTCATGTCATCATCCTCCATCGGGACCGGTCGCCCTGTACTCCAGGAGAAGGCTCTCTCCCGACAAGCTATCGATGACAACCGCGCCACTCTCCTCGAGGGCTCGGGCCGTGACGTCCAACGCCCCACGTCCCACGGTGGAAAAAACGCCCACAACACCGTTCAGCAGCCCAAGTGCCCCCAGTTTCTCATTGATGGCGTGACATGCATCACGTCTAATTACCCACCCCCACTGGACGAATATACGCGTTTTAGTCCCTACACCGTAGGGCTACACCTACATCAAGAAGACTGCAATAACGAGTTCAAGCTCAAGCAACCCACGCAAAACTTCATTCGATTCGAGTACTGCATCGAATCCTTCCATTACCCCGTCCACGTCTGCCAGGAGCCCACAATGTTTCAGGCTGATATTATGAGGAAGATGGAGTGGCACATTCGACTCCGCCACTTCTTTGTCGACCTAGACCAGCAGCTTGAAGAGCTCGAGGACTACCTCTCCATGTCCTCCTCCTCCTCCTCCTCCTCCTCATCTTCTTCTGCCAACAACAACAACCTGGACGTGAACACGAACCTCACAGACACCGCCGCCCTAGCCAACTGGACCTCCTACGAACTCCCGGACAATGCGGCCGGCCCATCCTACTTCCCCTTGGTCGACCGCCGTGACCTTGATCGGTTCACCAACCTCCGGTACTGCCGACGGGTTGTATTCTCGTAGTTTAACGGGGAGGGAAAGTGGCTGACGGGTCGCTGGCTCGTAGTCGCCTACGTTTTTGCCTCTACGTACGAAGCCGCTTGTAAGCTGGACGTCAAAGCCCTGTTATCACCGGGCTGCTCCGGTACCGTGACCACTGCCCATGGTACAGGCTCAGGTACAGGTACAGGTACAAGTACCCACTATAATACTGACACCATGCTGGCTCTCCATGCCATCTCCTGGGCCCCGCAAAGCCGCATTCGTAGTGGTAACGATCCGGCGATCGGCAGATTTTACCAGCTTGAGCGGAGGCGGAAGAGGGCATCGGAGTTTTACATCTATCGGTACGACGGTGGCGGCGGCGGCGACCAAACATCAGGAAAGCAGAGGAAGAAGAAGAAGATTGGCGCAACCACGACAACCTCAACCTCAACCCCCACTGTTGTGGAAACCGAAGACAAGGCTGACACCACTATCACTACCATGACTACGACCACGAAGAAGACCGATATTGTGGAGGTTGAGGAGACGGGAACCAGCAGCAGCGGCGCGGAAAAGGAAACGGAGATGTTCCCTACCGTCTACTACGACCCCTACCAGAGAAAACGCAGACCGGACCAGATACTTGTCGATGCTGCCCCTGCCGGAGTACCTATCCCCCAGGAACTCGAGGACCGTTGCCATCTCATTGATCGACTGTGGCCGGCTTTGATGACGGGTCAGTACATCCAGCAGGCGACGACGGATAGTGACGACCTTGAGTGGGATTGGATCGATGATTGGTCCAATACTTCTACCGAGTGAGATGGACACATACGCTATGGATTCAACAGCGGCCGGAAGTGTATGCCAATTACAGGCGAGGCATCCCCGACCTTCAAAGGCTCATCGGCGGGCAGCTTCATTTAGGATCGAGGTTATGTCAGTAGTGATTAGAGGAGGATCAGCAATAATACCGTAGTGTCTTTTACTTTGCAATGCACACCTTGCTCAACTTGTCTAGGCAATTCTACATCCAATTTACGTGTTTTCCTGCGACGACCGTGACTTCTGGTATTACCAGCCAGGGCTCCAAGCGCCTCGTGTCTTTGGCGTGACGAACAAGTGAGCCAGGTGCAAGTCAAGCGCATCAAGCCAAGGCACTTCCATAGCAAAGAGAGGTATTCTTCAGAGGATCAATCAACGGACAGCTGCATTTCGGATCGAGGTTATTCCAGTAGAGGAGGATCAGCAATAATAGCGTAATGTCTTTTTGCAAAAAAAACCGACCCTTGGAAAGTTCGTCAGCTCGAGACCTCAGTCAACTTGTCTACTCGGCAGGTCTCGAGTGACCGTGCCCTCGGCAAAAAGAAGGACGTCACTAGTCCGGACAAGTAGTAATTCTTCAGCGCTTAGTCAAGGCTCCCATGTCACAGTACACCGCCCAATCCATCACACTCGAGCAGGGAGGAGTCCAGGTGTATCTTTACGGAATGTTGGTATGAGCATTGGAAGAAATTTGAAGTAAGATAGAAGTGCCCACAGGTTGTTACAACATCTCATTGCTTCTCGGCCGCCTCACCACCGTCTCTCTTTCTTCCCCTCTCTCGATGATAACAAAAGCGAGCCGTCCAGAGCTCTCTTCCACCCCCGTATTGTATTCTCGGCTCCTTGTTCCTGATTACGACCTCCCTTTCCATTCATCGTCATGGTCCTTCTTCGGATATGTTTCACAATCTGGCTCGCCGAGGAGTTGCTGCTGCTGCCCTTCAAGACATGTGAGACGCGAGTAAGAATCCATGTGTGGATCGAAAATGCATCTTGCTCAACAGCGGCCTGGTTGCAATTGTTGCCAGCGGAAATCACACTTCTGTTCTCAGGGCAGGCGCGGGCCCGGGCACGGTCATGCATGATGGGCCGGTCTGCTTCCGGTCAGTGGGACCTGCTTTACAAATTTCCGAGATTGGCCATTCAGAAATAACCTGGAAAGCCGTTGGCACCACAGGGCCAATTTGAAGAGGAAGTGGAAGTGGAAGTCACGACTGCTGGGTGCTTGCGGTACCGATCTGGACCTGCCATCATAATTCACCCCACACCCGGACGTACGTGATCCGTCAACTCCATCGCACTTGCTTCTCGCTCACCACCCGTAGGTACCTAGGTATCTTGATGACGATAAAGGGCAGTCACGGGGACTTGGCTCCATGCCCAGAATTGAATGAAGGTCACGACTCACGAGAGGGCTCTTTCCTTGCCTCACACCTCACATCGGCTTGGTTTCCACTTGGCTTGTTCGTGCCAAAGACAGGAGGCGCTTCGAGCTTCCAGTTCCAGTTCAATTCTTATCTCAGAAGCTCAGACGTCTCCATGTAATTTTTCGCTCCCTTCGGTCGCGGGCTTCGCCAAGAAGAAGGGGGCCATACGGCCCGTACGCAACGTATAAAGTCAAATATAAAATAATTCATCCTATTAAAAAGGTCTGTACGTAGTCTATACGCTATAGCTTTCTGTAGCTTATTATATTTAATATAGGCTTACCTATAGAAGACATATAAGCCGCGGATTAGGTTCTAAGTGTAAACTGAAATCAAACCCCTATAGTAAATACCTAGGACTATTTATTAACTAAGTAATAACATTACCACCACAATACTAATAAGGATATAAATTAGCAGAACAGTAAAGAAATAGCCAGGTATTCCAACGATATAAATCGTTTAATAATTAAATAGATAGAACTCAAATGCTTTTAGTATATTTTAAAGTATACACTAAAATTAGATTTCCGTCTAGTCACCTCTTACTATTATAAATTTTAAGCTACAATTTAAGATGGAATAAAAGTAGGTATATACGTAGTACTCGTAAAGCACAACCTTTGTGTGTATTTACTTTTTTAATATTTTAATTTATATGCGTTCAATTATTATTAGTAATTACGATAGAGGAATTTTTCGACCCTAAATGGTAAATTAATAACTTTATTTATACTATCATAAGTATTCCGACGGTAAGGAAGGAATATATTAATACGGTGTATAGTTTAATATATAATAACCGAGATATAATATTAGTAGCAGCGATTAATTATAGTAAGAGTATTATTTCATATATTTTTTTAACGCTTACTAATAAAATCACAATATAAATCGTACCCTTTACTAAATTTAGCCAAGCCTAGGTTAACGATATTGTAAGGAAGGTAGAAGGCTCCAAACTTGTGTAGATAGATATTGAACTTTTTTTAAAAGTATGGAAAATTAGGAGAGGTATCCCCTATTCCTTTTAATATAATATAACTTTAAAGTTAACTTTTAGGACTTTTAATACCTAGAAGTATAGAAGAATATTAAGCTAGGATTTTATACGTATATTCTATTAGGCCTCGAATAAATATTAAATACTAAATTCAAAGCCGCGTTATATAGTCTAAATGTTTATAAATATATTAGTCTTTTTACTATCGACGAATTGTATATTATTAGTAAATGAAGAGATTTCTAGGAAGACTTTATTCGGTTGAAGAATTTAAGGGGCCTTCTATTACGTAGGATCCTATAGCTCGGTTATATTAGTACGCTAGACAGGGATAATTAAGAATTTATATTAGATTATAGTAGCTTTAATTAGTAGTAGGATCCTGCGGTTCGCTACGTATTATCCATACTAGTATTAATAGACTAGAGATTAATATTATTATCTAACCGCTCCTCCGTATTTTAATTAAAGATCTACGGCGTTTATAGTTCTTAGTCGACGGCTATGCCCCTAAAATTGTACGAGAAATTCCGAAAATAATTATTTATATTAATAATAAGAAGAAGTTTAGGAATATAAGGTATATCCTTATTAATTATATAAGGGCTTTTGGTTGTTCTAAATTCTTTATTTATTAGGTAGTCCGCTATTACGATATTAAAGTTATATCCGTTAATTAACATATTATTTTAAGAGATTTTTCTAATAATACAGATTACTATATTATAATTGCGATGGTATTACTAGGTATGGGCATAGATATACTAAATATATAACGAATTATCTAATTTGGACTACCTAAAGAGGTTAGCCTTATAAATCTTTAGTACCGTTTTAAAAAAACAATGCAGAAAAATAAAGAAGGCTATAGTATAGTTTATTTCTTTATACTATACTATTGCTTCGACTACTTAGGGTAAGAAGAAAGCTTATTTAAGCGCTCTAAACCTGTTAAATTATATTAAGTATAGCGTATTGTAAAGGTAGTATATAGATTTACCCTCATAATTAATAATAAATTTCGAAAAGTTACCCTTCTAAAATAAAGTGATAAAATTAGTAACGCTACCAGCCGACTAATTAACCGTAGAAGTGAAGTATTTAGCCAACTAATTAATTAAAAGAATGAAATATTTTTAATTACACTAATACTACCGCGCTCTAAAGATATAACTCTTACGCTAGAAAATAATATTAAAACGTATTCTTTATTCGATTTTTCCGTTAAAGTTAAATAGATAGAGGTAGATAAAGGTAAATACAAAGAACTATCTAACACTATCAAGGGCTTTCTAAATGCCAGCTACTTCCGGAAATTTGCCTTGGATTATTTTTAAGAACCGTATAATGATTCGAATTTTAAGGACAAGAAATTAATAGAGTAGTAGTATTATTATAATAGTTACAATTACGAACTAGGAAAAGTGTTTAAATTTTTACTAAAGGATAAGGGGAAAGAGAGGCCGTTAATTAGTTTATTGGCTACTATAATTTTAAAAACATTTAACCGTTAGTACGAAAAATAAGTTTAAAATTTAGTACTTAATAAGGATTGTTTCTTCGATATTATCCTAGAATTCTTTATAATTCCTACGTTGCAAAATATAATTGCTAGACTCTTTTCGATATTTTGAAGTAAGAAGGGGGCGCTAAATAAATTATATTTTAAATCGTTCGATAAATTATTAGACAAAGTAGAGGAATTACGGCACTGGGAGTTTATTGACACTAAAGGGGAGCTATTGGTCAATTGGTATATAGATTCTCTTAATACTATCTTTGAAGAATAGGAAGAGGAGCGAGATATAAGAAAGAAAGTAAGGGATGAGGTAAAGGTTGTAAAGGCTATTGGCGAAGCTATTAAATAGACGGCTGGCTGGAAGCGGGTTTACTTTATACTATTAGAAGGTTTATTGATACTAGTATAAAAGCGCTAGAAGTGCTTAAAATTCGATATAAATATAGTATATTGTAATTAATGTTATTCTAATCATTTCGTCAATTTTTGAGTAAAATCAGGGCTTTCCTATATGTGTGTATGTTAATTGGATTTAATTGAATGATATTTGCAGCTTTATTAACCTTACTTAATATACTTAAGTACTTATAATATTAAAAAGTAAAAATATTAATATCGATATTAATTTTATATATTTATAATATCGCCAACTGGATCAATTATATTAGTAAATTATAAATTATCATCTTTAACCTTAAAAAGATGTTCACCTTCTTCCTCCTAATTAATATCTCCATTTCTACTACTACTAACGCTAAGTAAAAACCTTTGGTTTATAGTATCCTTTAGTTCCACTACGGCTTTATTAAAATCGTTTAATTTAAAGAATAGAATTTATTATCCGATTCGATATATATTAGGGGTATTAAAGGCTCTTAAATCTAGTTTACTAAACCTTTTTATTTTACTATCTCTATATAGTTTGATAATATAAAAAGTAATATTAGTAATGGGATTACTAGATGTATAGGTTCCGTTTTGGTTGGTATTAAAAAACCGTTCTATCGATTTGCCAATGATGGAGAGGTAGTTGCTATTAAGAGATGGACGGGAGAATATAGTATGGATGTCGTACGTTGAATTCTTATAGTTTTTAATATTAATAGCGTATGTAGTATTAATATGTTCGAAGAATAAATCGATAGGCTTATAGTAATTACTAGTTATAGTATAACGAATAAAACTACTTTTGAAAATAGTATTACGAAAGTTAGAATTTATTAATATATTAAGGTAAAGAAGTTAGGCGAAATATAATATCTCTATATTATGATTTAGTAATTTCCCGCCTCAGAAAATAATGGGTAATAAAGGAATAATTTCCTTTATAAACTTATAATTATTAAAACGGATTATTTTATAAAATACTAATAGAATTTGAATTATTTATATTAATCGATAATAGCTTCGAAATTCCTTATCAATTTTATTTTCGCTTTTAATATTATTGTATATACCTTTCTATATTATCAGTAATAAAACTTCGTTAAAGATACGTTAAAAGACTTTATTAAAAGTTAGAAGGTTGTTTATATTTGCTATGGTTTCCTTAATGCTATTAACGTTTAGCTAGGTTTCTTCTAATATTCCTTTTTTTATAAAAAAGTCGATGATAAATATTAGAAGTCTAGTAGAATAATTATGTATTAATAAAGGTATGATATAGTAATATTTTATATCCTTTTTATTACTAAATTTCGTTTGCTAGAAGAATGGAATATCGGCTAATATAGTGGTAGGTAAATAATTTGCTTTAGGACTAGCATCGAAAGAATAACGCCAAAGAAGGTTATAGAAATTGACTTCAATATAGAAAAAGATAGGGATAAGTACTATCTATTTTCTTTAGTCCTATAATTCGCTAGCTTCAAGCTATAATTATTTAATTCTTTTAGTAAAAAAAGTCGTTTTTTAGTCCCTATAGATAAAGGTAAGCCGTTCAATATAATTTTTAAATTCTAGACGGTACTTCTATATTTCTTTTTATAATTTATATTTACCTTTAATCGTAACTTCGTCTTCGAATATAGTACTTAATTAAACGAAAGGGGAATACTTATAATTGATTATTTTAATAATAGGCATTTCTAGAATCTTTTTTTTTAAATAAGGTAGTGAATACTTTTATAATAAGCTAAGAAGATCGCTTCTTTAATCCCTTAGGGTATGAAAGGATATATTTACGGACTATTTTAACCGTATACTTTATTTTAGGCTTGAAAGCTTTTTATTTTAAAGGCCCATTTAATTCCGGGTAGCTAATTAGTATACTATTGTTAAATTAACTATTTTATACTCTTTACCCCCTTTAAGCTCTCTAATCTTATTTTAGAAATTGAAATTATTATATACGATAATACCGTTAGGATTATAGGTAATATCTTTAATAACTTTCTTTATTAATTTCATTATCGAATTAAGTAATTAATTAAATACTATATGCGAAGATACTACGCTTATAGTTAATAATATATTAATAATACGTTTAAGGGTCCTATTTAAAAGTATATATAACCTAAGAATTTAGCGTAAAAAGATTCTAGTGTTTTAGGCGTAGTTACGAAGGAGAAGGGAAGATAGTAGAATGATCTAGGAGCTACAATCTTCGTTAACGGTTTTATTTTAAACTATAAGGATATTAAGGAATTATATCATTATTTTTATTAATTTACAAAGATAAAGGTATTAAAAAAGTTTAGTTAAGATTATTTACTTAGTTTTATAATATTTAAGAAAAAAAAGAGACTATTTGCGGTACTTTTTTTTATAAAATAGGCTAAAGTTGAGTAAAAGTATTTTAAAACTATATTATATTATATATTTTAATAATAGTAGTTAGTAAACGGTTTAAGTATAGTTCGAATTTAGTAAAATATAGTTCCTTAAATAAAGTACTTATTTCTTTACAGATTACTATAGCGGTATAAAATTCATTATTATTATTTTTAACTTCTTTAACTATTAATTTAGCCCTTCTTAAAATAGTACTTATACGCTAGTCTTTAAGGGCCTTAATAAATTAATTGAGGTGGAAGCGGTATTTGACCTATTTTGTAAAGAATATTATAATAGAATATACCCTACTATTACCTTACTTACAATTATCGGTCCTTATTATAGTATTACGGGCCGAGGCACTATTGGGGGTAGGGTAAGATATACGTTATTATACGGAAGAGAGGAAAGGAAGGTATACGTAGAGGACTAACTATATAAGCAGTAACCTTAGCAGGCTAATCCGTACTTACGCATACATACAACTACACGTAACTACTATGCTCTAGGTATAATATATAAAGTAGTTAATATAGTACGAGAATATTATAAGTTAACTTTATAATACTATCCCCCTTTAAAAGAAGTTTTAGCAGCTTCGAATCTATATATATATATAATAGTATTCCAAATTATTTATTTCAAACTCTTTTCGTAATTTTCTAATATTCTATTATAATTTATAAACTCTATTTTTAATATTCGATTAAATTAAATATCTATTAAACGTCTTACTATCCTCGCAAATACTATATCTAATCCCTATTCCTCGTATACCGGGAATTTAATTAAAGGTATTATCGTGATTATAACTGTATTAAGCGGCGGCCTCGTAACGCTGATAACAGTAGCGGTCTAATATTAAACAATACAAGTAGACCGGCGCCTCGGAGGTACTAAGGGCGCTAGAATAGCGATCGGTATTAAAGCGGTAACCGGTATTAAAGTTCGTCCGGCTAATATAGTCTCTATATTTAGTAATATAGGTTTATTGGGGAACTCGTCGTAAAAGCACTAAAACATCTCCTCGCAATCAATAACGTTATCTTTAAATTCCCAAATCGGCTAATTATCACCTATCTATTTAACTTAATAATACTAATAATAATTACCGCCAAATTAAACGCAATCAATAAACTTCTCGAAGTTCTATTCCTCCCGTTCCTTATAATTATCCGTTCTAATTATTACGCGACTATTATTTACTTTTACATCGGACGACGTATTCTAACTAAATAAACCTCTACCGATCTATAATTATACTATAAAAACGTAGAAAACTAGCAAACACTTTATATTAATCGGGAGCGCAAAGTATACTATATAATTTTCCGCCCGAATAACGCAAAAAGGGCCCTCCTATCGTAAGCAAAACTTTAAATATAATTGGCCGTCAACAAAATTTATTATATTAAATAAAACTATATTACCGGGGTAGTATTTAAAGGACTCGACGTATTTCTTATTAATATTATCCTCGTATCGTTCTTAAATCTAATAAATTTATTAAATAATAAAATCCTAAATTTACTAAAAATAGTCCGCTAACTTGAATACTTTATAATATTCTTTAAATTAAATTAGGGAAAAGTCTAAAGGTAATAAAGTACAAAATTCGGTATTTATCCGTAAATAATAACAGTAATTAGCGAAGAAGAGAAAGATACCTATCGATAATAATATAGTATTATTCCTAATGAACTCCGCAATTAGCAGCTATTTCGCTCAATTTATTTACGCTTAGTTAATATAAAACTATAAAAATTATTCTATTTCCGTATTAATACACTCTATCTAAATATTAATCTAAGGGTAAAAAGCAGAAATTAATTCACAAATAATAAATAATCTCTTATAAAAGGTAAACTAAAAATATGATACAAATTAAATACTTTTATCGGACAGAATACTATCTAGTAGGCTATAAATAGAATAAATACAATCGATAAAACAGTCCGCGAACTCCTCCGCTTCTACAATTACTACAAATATATAATATTGCATTTTAATTAAATAATCAACGATAATAGCAATATACTTGAAGGTTTAACTAAAATAAATACTTCTTAATAATAAGGTAATATAATTAATAAATATATTTTACTATAATATAAAAGAGATAATTATAGGTTTAAAATAACCAGTTAAACCCTATTTAAATAATTTTATCTTTACGTAAAGGAAGCAACTTTTATAAAAAAAACTTTATATTATTATATATTGCCTCCTAATAAAATTCATATTATAAAAATTCGTATATAATATCGTAACTATGGTAGCCCATACCAAGAGAATTATATTAGCAACTAATTAATTAGAATTAGAACTCCTTATTATAAGGGTTAATAATTACCCTATCGCGCTATTTTACAATACCGTTTATAGCGTAGTATTCGAAAAAGGTATAGTAAAAAACGTTTTTAATAATCAGTAACTACTAGCGCCGCGTCTTATTTATAAAATATGAAAAGAATTCTTATAAAAAAATAAATATTTTATAATTAATATAGATTAGGTCGTCGGTAAATTTATTATCGAAATCCTCCATACCTAATAAATAGAGGGAGAAATTAATAATAGGGTCCTCCTTAGAGAAATAACCGTCTTCGAATTACGAAGGGTCCAAAAGCAGGCATTTTCTAACCGTAAACTTATCGTCTTCTATATTATTAAATTAATCGTTCGGTTTTCAGCTTAATACGTCTAGGCGGAGGTTCCTCGAATTTAATATATATTTAGTTAAAAAATTAAACCAGGACAAGAACTAGGACTACTCTATATAATATTAAATGAATTATTTATTAGTTATAAAAGTTTAAAAATTCTTATAATGTATTAAGATATTGAAAAGCTATTAAGCGCCTTCGAATTTTAACTTCTATTCCTCTAGCGCTTTAATAATGATAAGGAATTCCTTATTATAAATATTATAATTATATTCTTAAGCTATATACTTCGTTAAAAAGTAAATTATTAAGTATAGTACGCCGTTATCCCCGTATGAAAATAAGGTACTGCCTATAACTTAATTAAATATATTTATCTTAACTACTAATTTTTTAGTCTAATCGTAAATCTTTAATACGGGACCCTTAATAAAAGCCGTTTTTAACGCTTTAAAAGCGGATTAATAGCTACTATTCTAAATCTAAGCGGCCTCTTTCTTAATAAATTTATATAGTAGGGTCGCTATTATCGAAAAATTTCGTATAAAGCGTTAGTAGAAATTTATAAAACTTAAGAAAGATTATAAGGACTTTTTAAATTCTAAGGCTACCTATTCGGTAATAGTTTTAACCTTTTCTAGATTTATTTTAATACCTCCCGGAATAATAATTAAACCTAAATATTTCGTACGTATTGTATAAAATTCGTATTTATCGATATTAACGTTAAGGCCGGCCTATATTAAATAATTGAAAATATTATTA